ACAACGTACTCCGTTTCCTGTCCATGTGTCCGTCTTTCTCATCAGGATCTTAAATTGATTAATAAGTTGTTCCTTTGTGTTGTTTTAACTCCAGATAAATGGCTGTCAATTAATATTTTTGCATATTTCTGAGTCTGAGTGAGCTTAAAAAGGTTAAGGAGGTTTTCTATTTTGTGAAATTTAAAACAAACAAAGACAGTTTTAATGCTGATCCTGTAACACACACACACACACACACACACACACACACACACACACGCACACACACACACACACACACACACACACACACACACACACACACACACACACACACACACAAAGGACAGGAAGACACAGAGTCGGCCATGTTGGTTCGTTAGGTCCAGCATGTTAACTCTGCACCCTCATAGCTCGTCTATTGAGAGTTTTCTAACTTATTTTGTACATTTTACTTCAATTCATTGAACAAAAAAGTGCAAATTCAGGTGCATTGCTTTGTCCACATGATGGTTTAACAAAATAATTTCCCAATGTGGGATCAATAAGGAATATTTCACCTCTAATTTCAGACAGAGGGTGAGAAGAGGTGCATTAAAGCATCAACACATGATTATAAGATCCTAACGTGAAGTTATTTAGTGCATTTAAAAAGAAAAGAAATACAAGTGTTCTTCATCAAATGAACTTCCAGGATCTGAAATACATAATCTGGGGGGTTTTTCGACTATAATTACAAACAAAGAACCCCAAAATTGGTAACACTACCGGATTACTTTGCCTAAAATGCCAGGTCTCTCAGATGTGCTGGGAATGCAAACGGAATACGTGGCGCTTTTAGTTTTTAGTAATCCATATCTCCGGGAACCATTTGGTCAGAAAGAGCCATGAAACTATTTATTATCAAAATGGTTTTAACAACATTTCTTTCAATCCCTTAAAAACGTAATAAAACTAATGGTGAGGCGCTTTGGGAAGAGGTCAGAGGTCAGGATCAGAGTCTCACTCCTGCTTTACCACCAGGCTGCAGCTATTACAATCATCAATTTAAATTGAGCCGGCTGCCAAAGAAAGGGAATAAAAATAAATAGGTTTCCTGTCTGGAGCTGCAGACTTTCTGTAATTTCCCACAGTCACAGTCACAGTCCCATNAGTTGATCAGGCTGTTTGGTCCAGTTGTTGGACAGTGGACAATGTGCTTTGAAGCTAAGCATAGCTTTTTCAAGCAGGTTGTCAGACACACAAGCTGCTTCAAGAATGTTCCCCTCTCATTGGCTTCAAAACATCAGATGATGATTGCTTACCATCTGAGCTCCCCATGTCAGAGCAAGTCTAAGCTAGAGGTCTCATCTGTATCTACTCTACCAGTAGACTTACTGAAGGAAGAGATAGCACAAGTCATCAGACAAAAGTTTTCTGACACACCTGAGGTCCACCTTGCGCAGTGTGTGAAAATGGAAGGTATAACCTATAGGAAGGGAATAATATTGGCCCAAAGAGCATCAGATGGACTGCCTGAATTTGGTGAAATTGACCAAATATGCATTCTAAACGAAAGTGTATTTGACATTGTCAGAGAGTTCTGTGGTTGGTACAGCGAGCATTATAGAGCATTCAAACTCAGCCCAGCACCCGCATTAAAATATACTCGTGGCACCCAGTGAACTCCTTGACTCATATCCACTCGTCGGCTACAGGATTGGATCAGCACACATGGTGACCCTGAAAAGGCATATTGAAATAGGAGGTGTGATAACAAAACCATTCTATTGGAATCATCTAGTCAGATGTATACAGCAGTAGCTTCCTGTATAAAAGGGAACTGTTATCATTTTCGTTCATATAATCTAAAATGTATAGTGTCAGAGGTCTAATCATTTTTTATGTGTAGTTATGTGTATCTTTTCAGACTAATCTGCTTTGAAGATGGGAACTCCTGTTATCCTTAAAATCATCTTGAATGATGGCAGATCTCAGAGGCTGACTCTCCCTAATGGACTCCCTGCATCTGTTGACGACCTCAAGGATGAAGTGAAGATGCAGTGTGGACTTGAGGGGAATTTGAGACTTCAATTTATGGATTCCTTGTTTGGAAATGAGTTCCTCAACCTAACTTCAATTTCCGAAGTAGAAAACAAAGGTACTCTTAGAGTCATGGATATATCAAGGCCCACCACCACCCTTCTGAATGTTGATGTTGATTCTACTGTTCCAGTCCCAAATCCCCTGAGACCTTCCTCAGAAAATGACTCTTCGCTCATTTTAGATAGTTCTATGGATACAGATATACTCTCATCGAGTGAGTCTACAAGCTCACGGTTGTCTTGGCCTGCTGTTTTTCATGTGCCCAAGTTCTCGTATGATTCAGAACTCAAACTTCAGCAGGCAGGTTTATCATACCTTCAAAATGGCACTGTGCTTTTCCCCGACCCAAAGCTGAAGTCAGCCATTCTGTATGGTTTAGTGCAGGAAATGGTGCAGTATAAAGTGTATGTCAGTGATAAGGAGATGGAACAGGTAGCCATGAGTCTTATCAAGAGTCATTCATGTTTAACTGAAAAGGGTAGCTGTTAATCTGATCAAAAGACGTGTTCAATGGCATTAAAACGAGAAAAAACGTGGCTGAATTCCACGTTTTTTCTCGTTTTAATGCCATTGAACACGTCTTTTGATCAGATTAACAGCTACCCTTTTCAGTTAAACATGAATGACTCTTGATAAGNTGGCCACCCCACTGAAAATGTCCTGGCTCCGCCACTGTCTATGACACCTGATGTAGGCTACTTATACGATTCTGTTTTCTTCTAGTTTGTGTCTTCTTGGTCGAATGCACTTCGACTAAGTCGCTTTGGATAAAAGCGTCAGCTAAATGTAATGTAATGTATTGTTTGAAACTAGAGTGCATTCACACCTAATAGTCCGTTTTCTGGTGCGCACCAGACCACAGTTTGTTACATTGTTTCATTTTTCAGAAGGTTCGGTTTGCGTTCACACGGGCAAAGCTCAAACGGACTATAAACTTTAAACACAAGTCATGTGCACAGAAATGCTGTTCAACCATTGGTCAGACATTAAGGGGGTAAAAACGCAAATCCCGGCAATTTCTACCGGAGCCTATTCTCATGCTGCTGTTAATCTGGAGATCAACAGACACTAGCGGCCCGCGCATATGATTATATAATCAGACAACGTCCGTTAAAAAACATTATAACACATATACAGTAATGAGACGTTCTGCAGTAAGGAGGGGCGTTTCACCGACGACAGGTGTTCTTACTTTTATGTAGCTGACGGATAATTTTTATTTTACACGACACTGTTCAACACTTAATTCTGCTTCACTCTTTAACTAAACAACCGCGGATGTCTTGAAAGACTCTTTCGCTAGAGATTTTGAAGATATCCGCGTTCTTGTGACACGTAAATACTGCGCTTCCTATGTTTTGGTGCGGACTGCGTTCACACCAGCAATGAACCGCTCCAGAGTTCGCAAGCAAGCGCTCCGAGACCACCTATTTTTAGCGGACCAGAGTCCGGTTGTTTAGTTCACTTAAGAGGTCTCGGACTGTGTTCACACCGACCCAAATAAACCGCACCAAGCGGCTAAACTCACCAGGGTTCGATTCAACCGGAATATACAAGGCAGGTGTGAACGCTTAGGTTTTCATGATGGAAAACAAAGTAGACTTATCATAGCAGTCCTACAATTGAAACATCTAGTGGCATGGTCATTAATAATGCTGTTCATGGAACATTTCATCATCAAGGATGTTTGGATTGATTCTGAACGCCATTAAAACTGGATGTGTTTTCCTTTCAGGAAGCACTTTCTGCACCTGTAGCACTGAATCATAATGTCATCATTGATTTAGTTTTGATAAAATACGTGACATGGCAGTTAGTATAGTTGACTGATTTGTGTCTGGTCATGTAAAGTATGCTTGTATGTTATTTAAGGTACATTCTCCATCTGAAACAAAGTAAGGAGAATACACTTGTTGCATTATCCTTCAATTAAATTAATCCATGATAAAAAATAAATATGTTTGAGATCATTTTCCATTTTGTGCAATCCTTTTACCTGCTCCTCTGTGATTGGTGCAGATTTTTTTTTTTTTGTCAGAAAATCTGGTTCCAGTTCTCTCTTGAGAATGAGATAACTTAATGAGATTATCTGAATTAATAAAGGTTAAATTCATGTATTTTATTTTGAGTAGCTCATACATGATTAAATGATTATTAAGCGAGCAAATTAAAATATACATGTTGTGTATTTTAGACTCATTTTTACTTTTATAAAGATATTTTAATGTATTTTCATTGAATTCTTACCTTAACTTTTTATGTATATAAAGATATCTTTATTACATTTTTTTTCATTGCGCAGTCTTACTTTAACATTGTTTATGTTTTTATAAATAATTGTATTTATTTTGATATTGTTTAATTTTATTTGACTCCAAACTAGAGCAGCTGTCACAAACCAAATTTCCCTGAGATACATTTGTTATTCTGGTGTTTAGTATTAGTTTACCAACCGCTAACTGGGTTAAGAAGCTGCTCCTCTCCTCTCTCCACCATTACCTCATCCCCTCTCTCTCCTCCCTGTACCTCCTCCTGGTGACGGCAGACCGGAGGGGGCAGACGAGGAAGATGAGGAAGAGGAGGTGTGCCTACTACAAAGAGCACAGGCTGCAGAGAGCGGCTATTTTTGACATTTCCTGAATCATATTTTATTCAGATGTTTGTGTCGCTTGAACGTGGACATTGCTGCCTCGTTGAATTGTGAGAAGAACCTCTGTCATTTTCATTCGGAAACACAAGCGATCCCCGGAAGAGATTTGAATCAGTTTAATCGATTAATTTTCCTTGAGGATAGCGTTAGATGCGCAGCTGTCTGATGCACTCCCTATCGGAAACAAGGACATAAAGACGGGATTATTGAAGCGGGACAAAAGGCGATGATAGCCCGGATCTAGCGCTCTGATCCGCGATGAGGCAGGACAGGCTCCCCGCCGCCGGCAGGAGGCCGAGGGCGGCGAGGCGGCGGCAGCAGCAAGGGTCGGGAGGGGTCGGGAACATCATCAGCAACGTCCTGAGGAAGAGGAACGGGATCTCCCGGAGTGCACCGCGGCTGCTCTGCACCTTAGAGCCAGGTTAACACTTCACCCAATGCATGGCATGGTCTTGCATTTTGATTTTATTCTGGTCAATATGGCAATTAGTGGTTTTATATGAGCACGTTTGTTTCTGCTAACTGTCCACAGATGATTCACGATTGGTGTCATTATACTCTCATTTTCCTTTGCTTGATGTGATCTGTAAAATTGGCAAGTAATTGTCATCTTTAAAACAATCCGATAGTTTACATTATTATATAAGATTAGCAAAATGCTGGCTGGTATATCGAACCATTTTGTATCAGGCATACTTTTGACACCTTTTATAGTTTTTGGAATTATGGCTCAATAAACTGATAAATATTGTTTATTACACCCCGTCCATAGCCACGTGACTGTTTTACCAAATTGTCAGCTGCAAATTACTTCATGTTGCTACATTACACATGATTAGGTCAAATATGTTATTGCTCTCACCAAGAAACAATCTTAAAGCTTCATGAGCTCATTTTCAACCTGTGCGAATAATGAGATTTTGAAGTGAGTTCAAAATCAAATGACGAGAACAGGGTTTGATTTAATGTAATCATGCACTTCACTGACCAAATAACTGGGAGATATCAGTTTGACCTGTTTTTGTGGATGGACACTGCCCATGCACCAGTTGTTTATAGTTCTGCTGGATTGACTTTTGACAAATATCCTTTGAAAAAATCTGTTTAGTACTTTTTAAATCCCAGATTATGGACCCCCCCCATTGCTGTTCTTTAGTCTGGAACTGAATTGTTTATTCATAGTTTCTGTCCCATGTTTGATGGATAAGGTTTTAGGAAATACAAAGAAAAGCTTTTTGGATAACTTGTTTTTGTTCATAACTAAAGACAACATGCACTTATAATGGAGGAATACATAGGTTTTGTAATATGTTAAGGTTAATGTGATCCAAACACTTCATGACACAGCAAAAATCCTTCCATCTCCCAGATATTTATCTAATGACGTGGAGTTATTTGAACACGATCTACTTCATAACATCTTTAACAAGTGTTATGTTTATTTGTGATAAAGCCACGTTTTCTCAGTCGTCATTCTTTTGGCTTTATTCACAGTGAGGAAGTCCATTGTTTTAGCCTAAGGTTTATTCCCAAAGACTTAACACTTGAAATGCTCTAGAGGTCTTTCTCCTCCCTTTATCTGTCTTTCTTTATCACCTTCCCTTTTTTCCTTTCTCTTATCCTTCATACCTTACCTGCCTTGATAAATACTAAATACTGCTTCAGTGCCAGCTGTGTAATCCGTGAAGGGAAGGAGGAGGGCTTCCGTGTTAATCCTCTCCCAAAGCTCAGAGAGGAAATAAAGCGACGTACACGTAGAATGGCGCAGGAAATAACGACAGAGGCGGAAGAAACAGGTTGAACACACGTTTTGTCTTTTTGCAACAGGCCGTTTTGGGCAGTAGACATTAGACTTGTTGTTCTGGTAGTGCGACCGGCTGCATTGTGTCGATCCTCCGGAGAAAATGGGGGCAGAAATGGCCGCTGTTGGCTCAGTGCCGACACATGTCAGGAGCTTCCCTCTTAACTTCAGATCAAAGTTTCATTTCCGTTTGGTCTTCGGCAGGGTTTAGCGGGTTTAGCACACTAAATATGTTCTGTGTGTGTGTGTGTGTGTGTGTGTGTGTGTGTGTGTGTGCGCGCGCGTAAACGATGTTTTTGTGAGGCGGAGATTACACGCAGATTCAGTACCAGGCGGAAGTGGACAGCGACTCTCCGTGAATCGCCCAACAGCACAACAAACTGTTATTAAATCCAATGTTTTTTGATACGATCATATCTAAATATCTTGCTTTGTCTTATGTTACTATTAAGTATAGGGTTGACATACATTTCTCCAATACTAAAATAACTTCCGGGGTTTCCTTAGGTTTTGTTTTTGATGAATTTACGACGCTTAGTTTATATTTGTGGAAAGCATAACACATAGTTTGAAAATAAGAAATGATTAGTTACAGGAGGAATTGGAATGAAGTTATTTTAAAGGATAACTTATCTTATTGCATTTTTTGGTCTGAAAAATAGTTCAAAAACAATGGGGGCTCATAAATGTCCTTTGCTTGTATACTGCCTCGTCATTGGTTGATTCCTTTTTCATTTATAATATCAGCCAATAACAGCTTGTTGTTGTTACATTACAAACTGATGCTGACTATGTATCTAATATAACATTTGGGAACTTTGGAATTGTTTCTCTTACAGTGGTCCCTTAGATCTGGTTCCAGACTAGTTTAACCTTCTGGTGTCTTGTTTGTTTGTTTGTTTTGTAGGAGTTGACACAAGGCTGAAGTTTACAATTGAACCATTGTTGGGAACGAATGGATTCCAGCAGGTAAGAAGTCAGAAACCCAAACTGATATTCTTTTTTTAGGTTCCTGAAATACTGAATGCCTTCTGTTGGACTACATTTTCAACTACAGTAAAACATATATTATTCTACATAAAGTAATAATACTGTATTGTACTGGTTTGCACTGTCCTCAGTGGGAGTGTGGCAGATAATTAAACACAGTAACAGCATGTTTTTTTCTTCCTCACAGTGGTACGACGCACTTAAATCTGTGGCCAGGCTCCCTACAGGGATACCAAAGGAATGGAGAAAGAGGGTGCGTAACCTAAACTAATCATATCGTATGGCATTTCTGGGACATTATTTTCCAGGGGTGGCAATGCAGAAACACGCTGAAAATGTAAGGAGTAGATTATTATATATATTGAATTGAAAAAGTAGCCTTGTAGTTGTTCATATAAGTCTGCATAGACTCTGTGCCACAACCCTAAATCAAAAATATCCCCCATATAAAAGCCATCTTGATAAATGAGCCCTTATTTCTATTCTTTGTTTTGTACCAAGAGGGTATTTAGAAAAAGAAAGTGGTGACAAGAAAGGTGTGTTTTCTTTATTATCGCCAACCTGCAGGCAGAATTGTGCAGCCTTGAAAGAGACCGCATAGTCATAAAAGAACAACACGCATAGGCACTTTGTCTACAACGCTCCATTAATCTCACAAAATAACTTTGTCTCTTGGGAGGAGAGAGCGGGAAAAGGAAGTGATTAGTTCCATCTTGTCAGGGGAAAAGTAAAAAAGGAAACCTTTTCTTTTTCCTGATCTTGTAAAACAAAATGAATCACTTTGAACAACGGACCTCTTACACTAGACAATTTTGATATTGTTCTGTTATTAATGTGCTTTTTCTTGGGTCTTTGTGTGTTGTCTTTCTGCAGGTGTGGCTAACGCTAGCAGAACAGTACCTGCACACTATCTCTATAGACTGGGACAAGACGCTTCGTTTCGCCTTCAACGAGCGCAGCAACCCTGACGATGACTCGCTCGGCATCCAAATTGTCAAGGTAACCAGATTGCCACGTTGGGGGTTGAGAGGAATTTGAGTGCAAATGTTAAAGTCTAAATATGTAGATTCACTAAAAACATTGACAGAAAAAGCATGAATGAGACTGTTCAGTTACTTTTTGTATTCTTTTTTATTTTTCACCGTTATTTGTTTAATTTATTGAACTTTCTGAAATCTGAACAATTTTCCAATTACCAAATTTTTGATGAACTTTGAAATGAACCTTGTAGAAAAAACTGATTTCTCATGTAGTATCCATTTCTTTGAGATTTAATGTAGTTACTTTTTCTGACAAAAGTAGTGTTTTTTTTTTTCCCAAGAAGTGTTCAACTTTAGCAGTTTGAAGTGATCCTAAAATATTGGTCTCACTGTTCTGGCACAGATTACTCTCTGCCATTGAGATAAGTGGATTCAAGCTTTTATTTCACAAGTGATATTCAGGAAGTGCAAACTAAGTAATGATGACTTGCATTTAAGATGATGACCAAAAAGGAAACACATAGCCATCTTTGATATTCTTTTACTGGTTGTATAAAGATATATCCGGAGGCAGGTCAGGTGGAGGATGTTTGCCTCTACCTGTGCGTCAGAGAAAGAGAGGACTGCATCATGGAAACTCTGCAGCTGTTTTCTATTTCTCAGTGACTCACACATTCAACAGAGTAATGGCTGCTTCCATCAACAGAGCAAAGTCCAACTACCTGCTTCTCATCAGAGTTTCTGAAACAATTATTTATACCCCTGGTTAATGACTCGTAATAAAACGATCCATACTGTCCATCCTCCAGGACCTGCACAGGACGGGCTGCAGTTCGTACTGCGGGCAGGAGGGGGAGCAGGACCGGGTGGTGCTGAAGAGGGTGCTGCTGGCCTACGCCCGCTGGAACAAAAGTGTGGGCTACTGCCAGGGATTCAACGTACTGGCTGCGCTCATACTGGAAGTTACAGAGGGCCACGAGAGCGATGCGCTGAAGGTACGCACACGGAAAGAATGAACGCAGATTTGTAATAAATGACCAAATGCTCAAACTAAAGTCAAGCTGTGTGAAAAAGGACAAGTCTTTATATCAGGAGTTTAAGAAATATCTCAGAGACTGTGGGCCTTGCCTCAGAGAAATATTGGAATGATCCCGCTTTACCTTCTTAGTTTTGCTCAATTCATTGACCATGACCATGCTGTTGACCATCCAGGCTATGATTGTATTCCATTGACACTCAGGGATTGAGCCAATTAAGCTTACTATCGTCGTTTGACATAACTTGAGACTAAAACAAATACATGAAAAGACTACAGTTTCTCTATCTCTCTTTAACTTTAATCATATTTATGTGATCTTACTCTGATAACTATTTTTTATAATTCGTGTAAAAAGTGTTCATTCCAATTCCCTCAACCCCCCATGAAACTGCTTGCAATATCCAACTTCAAAATCTTCTTTTGATGATCTTCATATACGGCACTACGAGTCAATATAATGAATTGGTTACTTCCTGGTAGCGTTCCTATGTTCCTTTCTGCCCTTTAGTATTTAGCAATGATTAAACGTCTCCGTGTGTCTCGGCTCTCCTCTGTGTTCAGGTGATGATCTACCTGATTGACAAAGTGCTGCCTGAGAGTTATTTTGCCAACAACCTGCGAGCATTGTCAGGTAAACGCAACGACCCAAAACATGCTGATTCATGATTGAAGAATTTCAGATTGTAAAAACTTGAATAACTTTAGCCTGTAAATAATCCAGGAGATGAATTATTAACATGGTTAACTCGATGGTTAACAAGCTAATTTATCAAAGCAGACCTTTAAACATTGACAGCATTAATCAAAAGGACATCATTTAACATGTCCAGTACTAACAGATCTTGAATCTGTATTGCCTCCTCCTCTCAGTGGACATGGCGGTGTTCAGAGACCTGCTCCGCCTGAAGCTGCCCCGACTGTCACAGCATCTCCACCAGCTGCAGAAAGCTGCCAACAAAGAGGCCGGAGGTACAAACTGTGTGTGCGTGTGTGTGTGTGCGTGTGTGTGTGTGTGTGTGTGTGTGTGTGTGTGTGTGTGTGTGTGTCAATGTTCACAGAAATGCTTCCAAAAACGCTATAAATGTTCAGCATCAACAGCAGGCAATGCTACCGGATTAAAAGTTGATAAATCAATTTAGCGAAAATTAAGGCTATTAAAAAGTATTAAACGGCATTTTCCCAGGTATTACATTTTGTAGCTTGTTTTCAATAATTATATAAATTGTCCAAAGAGGTTGTGTTCTACAGTGTGCCTGAATGTAATCATTGCGTAGGTGTGTAGTGTGATTCTGTGGAGTTTATTTATGGCATCCCGTTGGTTTTGACGTCATCTGAACGGGACATCGCACGCTCACTGCTCGATAGCGCGCGAAGGTCCGTTTACGCCGGTTGTTAAACAACATCGTTATGGGGAAATGCAAGTTTGCGTCCAAATGGTTGGAAGATAAAGAGGAAGGGCAATCAATACTGTATATAGTCAATGTGAGGTAAAGTGTGTCGCCAATGTAACCGGTTAAAACTCCAAGTGGCGATGAGGTCTTAAAATGTATGGAAAGGGTCTTAAAAAAGGTCTTAAAGGGTATTACATTTGACTTCCTGCATATACCCTGATGATACTTTAGCTGGCAAGGCAAGTTTATTTATATAGCACCTTTCAACACACGGCAATTCAAAGTGCTTTACAAAAAATGAAAGACATTAAGAAAATGGCATTTAAAAACAGTCATTAAAAAGAAAAGATAATAAAATAAACATATTAAGGTGTAACATGTCTCTTTTCTTTGCATGAAAGTGTCTAAAAAAACGACTGGACTGTTTTATATTTAGTTGAGTTGTGTATGTTATAGTAAATGTTTCAAACAATCTTCAAACCAAGAGAAATGTGTAATTTTATCAATTTCTTTGAAGTACAGTATGCATCAGCGTTAGAGTTGCCCAATTAATTAAAATGTTGAAGTATTGGTTAAGATATCATTTGTAATTAAAGAGTAGAGTATCAAGGCATAACATTCGTACTCTACCGACTTAATTTTTGTTTGTTTGGTACAAATCCTCCAAAAAAAAAAGGGAATAATGTGGGTTTGTGAATGTATGAAAACTTGCCTGATCTCACAATATTCTTTTTCTCAGGCAGCTACGAGCCTCCGCTGACCAACGTGTTCACGATGCAGTGGTTCCTCACGATGTTCGCCACCTGCCTGCCGGCGCCCACCGTGCTGAAGATCTGGGACTCGGTGTTCTTCGAAGGCTCCGAGGTTCTGTTTCGAGTCGCACTCGCCATCTGGGAGAGACTGGGAGAGTGAGTGGACCAGCACAGGAATAATGATTTGACTTCTGTTGGGGGTTTTGATTAACAATTTAAACCTTTGTGCGTCCAATTTCTGCCTTTTTAACGGACATTAAATTAGACCATTGTCATGCTCAATCATTTTTAAAATGGTTGTGTATTTGCTGTTAAATATTGTTTTAGTTAATTCATACATTTTAAAACACTACTCATTTTTGCCTCCCTCTCTCCAGGAGGATCGAGTACTGTCACTCAGCAGATGAGTTTTACAGCACCATGGGATGTCTCACTCAGGAGATGCTGGACCGCAACCTCATCGATCCTCCTGAACTCATGCAGGTATGACATCAACAAAACCGCTCATACCTCTTTTGCAGTGATGGAAGTACTCAGATCTTTTACTTAGTTAAATTAGCAATACCAAATGTACTCTGGTAAAGTACTTTAAAATGTAACTTGAGTGTACAGTACTAGCGTTGTACTACAACATTCCACCAATGCTCTTTTGTGATGTTTTTAAGCTGACTTGTTTACTGTTATCCTCATTGTTCAGGAGGTTTACGCCATGGCTGTGTTTCCATTCCCTCAACTGGCTGAGCTGAGAGAGAAATACACGTACAACATCACTCCGTTCCCCACTTCAGTCAAATCCAGTGGAAGGTTTGTTCTCTACTTAGAAATGATAAAAGATACACATTTTACAATAGATGTTAACCAATGAAATGCCCTTAAAGATACTATTGGCTAATACAAAATCAGTGCATGCATTTCACAAAAGTAAAAAAGCATTGCAAAGGCTGTCTATAAAAAGGTTTCCAATCAAAGGAAATCTGAAATCAAATATACGAGTTTAAATGTGTGAGATGGTGTTGATGGGAACATGTTTAATATTGTTTGTATTCTCTTAATAGTGGAGGTTTGGGCGGCTGGGAGAGTGATGATGATGCCGAAATGGACGATGAAGACTCTGTGGTGACGGCGCTCGGCTGCCTCGGGCCCCTGGGTGGCCTGCTGGCCCCCGAGCTGCACAGATACCAGAGACACCTCAAAGGTCAGCGCACTTTATTACACAGGATTTCAATAGAAGCTGGTGGACAGACGGCAGCAAAGACCAACAGACTGCCGCCCCAAATCCTTGTGTCCTGCCCTCAATTTGACTCGGAGTGCAAACTGTCTCTGATCTGATTCCTCCAGACAAATCCCCACTTCCTCCCCCTTCAACGGCTCCTTCAAAGATAAAAACAGCCAGAGGGATTAAGCCTTAAACGTTATTTTCGCTCTCCACCGATTTAAAATTGACTTCACAGAGAAAGTAAGTGTTTGATTTCGGATCTCAGCACAGCTGTTTCGTCCTTGTTCAAAAGGGAAATGTAGCTCCTTTTTTAAACAGCTAACTATAGCAACTGAACATCAATGAATTATCCTCATGGTGTACTTTATCATATAATTACAGGAAACAACAGGCTTTTAAAATACATCTTGGTCTTTGCAACACAAAAAGAGGAAAGCTGATGAAGCAAGAATAACTTCAAACACGCTGAACCTTTTCAGTAGAGCTAAAGAGAAATCAAACAAAGTAAATGTCAAACACTTTTGAACAAAATGCACTTTTCCCCTCGTCGTCTAAGGTCGATTTTCAAAGCATTGTGTTTACGATATCATCAAAGGCGAAAAAACAGGAAAGGCTGACTCATTCGCATCAAAGGCCTTTGGAAATAACTTAAGACCACGTATTGCTGCAAAACAGCCTCAGCCATGTACAGAATGTAATTCAAGAAACTTTCGGTCTTTTAAAATAAATACAACCTACCCTCCCGAAAGTCTGTGGTCATCTTCCCTTGATACCAACGAGAGGCTTTTTGTATTTAATGCTTAGTTTTGTGACTCGGCTGAGTGAGAAAATAAGTAAGAAAAGGGGCTTTAAAAGGCACATTGGATTTGTCTGCTTCTTTGTGTGATTCCACTTCTTTAAACCAAAGCCCTTTACTATAATCTTCAAGGCTTTTTCAATTCCTCCTTCAATCTTTTCTGGTTTGGCTTTCAAAAAAATGGAATAAGGTGAGGCATTGTTGGGTAAAAACGTGACATCAGTGTTTCCTCTCTCTACCTCCAGACCATCGAGGGGAGCAGGGGAACATCGCAGAGCTGAGCCCAGGAGCGGTGGGCACTGCAGGGGGAGCAGCAGCAGCAGCAGGAGGAGGAGGAGCCAGGGCGGAGCATCAAGCAGCAATCAACAGCATGATGATGGAGAGGATGAGCACCGACATCTGCGCCCTGAAGAAGCAATACACACGCATCAAAAGGAGGCAGCAGCAACAGGCTATGCAACTCTACATACGCACAGGTGGGAGGAACCGTTTTAACATTGATCATAACTTAACACATTTTTTAAACTTCAAACACCTTCTCAGTTCATTGTTTTTTACATTAATGTCAAAAGCTAGTAGCTTCAACTGTCACTTTAGGACTATGTGGTTTTGACAGTGGAGCTACTTATTTCAGATCTTGGTGACAGTAGCAAATAGTACATTTCATTACAAATATTTCTGTCATACTTTTCAGACATAACATGAGTCAAAATGGAACTTATGTTACAAAAACAAAATATTCAATTTTAATTTAGAAACGTTGTCCTTAATAACCTACATTGTTTAAACATTAGTAAATAGGCATGATTTTTTTTAAATAAACAAAAAACATATAGGCCATAAATTGAATACACTTTATGGAGCACTCTGATTTTTAAACACTATTTACTGACAATGGCAGTTAATGTCCAAGCCTTTATTCAAACAAATAAAAAACAGTGCTCCCTCTTCTGTAAATAACAATGATTAAACACCGCTGGGGCTCCCCCTGGGTAGAGGGACGGAAAAACATGCATTCAGCAGAAAGTCCGATGTGTGACCATGATGTGTGACTCGTAGGACTTGGAACTGAAGTGGCGAGTCCAGCTGTTTTCCAGGAGCAGCCCGACAAACACAGGGACAGTACCGACCCACACACTGACGGTACTGCTGTCCAAACACTTCTGAAACTCTCGGGCTGATTTGAGGGACTTAACTGAATCATTTGGGTTTCAACTGAAGTCATTTGGGGATTTAAGGAGGATAGTTGAAAACGTTAAATCATGGGTAAGGTCTACCATGGGTTTCCAAGACAGATTTCCAATTGAATATTTCCTCAGTTCAGAACATATAAAACAAACTTCTGATACAAACACGTCAAAAAAGTGTATACAATGTGCGGCTTTAAAGATATTTAAACAGTTGTACAAACTCTGTCATGCTAATTTTAAACATAGAGGATACTCTCTGAAAAACAAGCCCTATAGGAAAAGCAACGTTGGAAATCTGTCATGGGAACTTCTGGCTCAAAATATTGAATCTTTTCGTGGTTGTCTAACTATAAACTCTTTGAATCAGGTTTTGGTTAGTATGAATAATTACTATAATGCTCTCAAAATGCCAAAGGATGCATACAGGCATGATTCACTTTGTTAAACAGCAAACGTGTCCGCATCGAAAGAAGTTAATATAAATTGTAAATATGCGTAGATACATATTTTAGACTTGAATGAGAAGAGTACTGTACACTCTGACGGGCATTTTGAGAGCATTTTTTAAACGTGTGCTTTGATTTAATAAAAACAAATATATGTTCAGAGGGATGCTGTGCCTGGGACAACTGATGATGGTTGTTCTTTTTGCAGGTGGTATATGCAATGTCAATTAAAATGCTATATTCAAAATATGTTTTTGGAGACACCTGTCACTACTGCACAAAAGACAAGTCCTACATAAGCATAAATCAACTTTTTTAGAACCTGAACATCTTAAGATGTCAGAAGATAACACAACCACAATTGAATAATGAAAAAAACACTCTGCTTTTAAGGCACCATTATTTCTGGAGCATTATTTAGGGTTCATTTAACTAAACACTAATGATGTCTTCAGTATTGACAGATGTTTCCTAATAATTTTGTTTTTTTTGGCTGTATCCTCAAGGATTTCCTGGTCTGGGCGGACTCTTATCACTAATGTTAACAACTTCTACTTCCTTGTTTTTGTTGCTCCTACCATCTCATGCTTACATACTGTTTAACTTTGGGCGCCCTCTAGTGTCTGATGTTGCTATGAGCAGCTGCATGTATTCATAAATGTGATTCAGCTGATGCATTTATACAATCAAACGTAAATAGTTCATTTCTGAGATGGCTGTAGTGCTGACACAATTAATTAATTTCTAAATGCATAGATAATCAATCTGACAAGTTTGTAGTATAAAGACCTCTTTCGGATAATTCATGTTACTATATTGACAATTATTTGAAATGAAGAAATTATATTTATATTCTCATTATAAATTCAATATATTTGTTTCTTACATTTTTGACAATTGCATTACCTTGTAACAGAGCTTGGGATAGACAGTTGACAATATCGATCATTTCTTAGAATCATCAATTTTGTAAAATATAATTGATAACGAAAAAATATGTTTAATGGCAAGTTCTAAGAAGTTATATCGGATACATTTCAGCTCCTATCAAATTCACTGTTGCTTCCTGTTTTAATGTGCTTTTGTGTGCGTCTCCTCACCTTTCACCCCCCTCCAGAAAAGTGCCCAGCCACCCGTGTACTGCCCTCCCAACTCAACCCTTCGAGCACCGTCATCAATCACCTCCTTCTGGGTCGGAAACTGCGCAGAGACCCCCGGGGCTCTAGACCCGCCTCACCTAGCACCTCCACCCTGCCGGTGAATGGACCCTCTTCCCTGTCCCAGAGTCAGGGCTCCCCGACCAGTCAGCGCTGTGCCTCGATGGTCTCCAACAGTTCAGGATCTCCAGGGAGCTGTGGAGGAGGCTCGGGGTCTCCCTGGCGCGCTCATGTCCGGGTCCATCGAAGGAATATAGCCATGGCTCGAGAACAGCTGGGCTTCGGAGATTCTGAGGAAAGGGAAAATGAAGAGAGTGAAGAGGAGAGGAAGATTGAGGAAAATGAGGGAGTTGACGATGAGCTGAAAGAGGGGAGCGACTCCTTGTTGTCTCCTGATCCCTCTGGTTCAGTGTGCGAGGAGGCTCCACAGATGGCAGATGAGACAGAAGTTGCAGAGGTGGTGGTGCAGCTGGACTGCCTGGATCTAGAGGACGAACCAAATCTGACCTCCCCCGACGACGCAGATTCACAACCCACATCACCAGAGTCTGAACCTGCACCACAAGTTCCTCTTCTCCCTCCTCCACCATCCTTAAAAAGACACCAGGAGTCCGACTCGTCAGGTTCAGAAAGAAGCTCTGACAGACACTTTACTTTACCTCCACCTCACCACTCCTTCAACTCCTCACCCTCCACCCTGAGTCCGTCCCCCTCTCCGGTCCCCACATTGGCCTCTCTTGCCCCGTCTAGCTCATCCTCTCCTACGCCACCTTCCACCCCAGTGCCAAGCTCCACATCCTGCCTCCAATCTCCCCTTGCAGCTAACGACTTCTCCTCCACCTTTTACAAAACTTCCTCCCCCTCCACTCCCTCACTTTCCTCTATCTCTTCATCATCAAGATCTCATTTATCCTCCTCCCCGTCTACCCCAGCGTTATCCTCCACCCCTAAACAGCAGGCCTATTCCCCATTCCCAAGCGTGAAGCAGCCAAGGAAATCAGCAGCTGCCAGAAACCTCGGCCTCTACGGACCTACATCCAGAACACCAACAGTACACTTCCCCCAGCTCAGCCTCAACCGCAGCAGTGCTGCTGGCACCACAGGGGCCCGATGAAGACCTCTGCACTCCTGAACTGATGCCACAAACACAGTCATTAAGTAATATGAACAATCATTATTTAACTACACCGTGTTGCCTCCTCCATATGAGTTCACCCATATCTTAGCTGAAGATAGAACGTTATAGATATGTAGAGTTCAAATGTGCCCAGAATTGCTTGATTATTGCTGTTGAAATGTGAAGATTGTATTTCCCCTAATAAAGGGGTTATCCTGAAACAACAAGCCATTGCAGATAAATGTTAAAGAAGTAATTGACTTTGTCTCTTCAAAAGTGGTTTGTACTCCTGCAGAAAAGGATTCTCCCTGGACTGGAACACAAAGAATGTGAGAAATGCTACCTTCTACACTCGTATTGACATGTGGCATCAAGATGAAGAACACTCTTTTCTTATCTGAAAACACAATAGCCATACAGTTGTTCTATGCCAGGTATTTCAAGAGATGCCTAAAAATGGCTGTTAATGAAGAATCAAGGTCCTTTATTTGTCAAATGAATAATGAATATGTAATGTTTGTGTGCCCACAAAAATACTTCCATTCTTAAAATGTTTGATTTTCTTAAGCACTAAACATTGTTTCTTTCTTCACTCAGTCTGTAACTTGGTTGTTTACCATAAAGCATGTAGTATATCTCTGTCAATAACGAAATAAAATAATGAAGTGTGAATTAATGAATGTTACTCAGCTTGGCCAAGGATTATTTTGACCATTGGGGTGTGAATGCTTTGTAAATGTGGCACATCTAAATATAAATGCAGAAACATTACTGCCACGCCGTATTACTACCTGTGTTCACATGAAATACACCTGCACAACATTTCAAAGGACACCATGTTGATTTCCTTTATATTCATTATTGTCTCACCAAACAGAACGCACTCTTACTCTGGAACATACAATTTAAAATAGATATTAGATTTTAATATTAAAACATTTCTACTATCATTTCATCTATAACGATTGTCTCTTTAATTTCATACAATGTTAATGTCAAATACATGTAGTTAACTACCTTAGTAACATTTGAAATGTTCCTGCATGGGTTAAAACCTGTTAAACCCCGAGCCTGTTTTTCAGGTTTCAGGCTCGAAAATGACATTCCCAGAACAAATGACCATATCTTCCCTTCTAAAAGGGTTAAATTAATAATCTTTTTTCTCAAAGTAATGATAAACCTGTCAGTTGGATGTAAAAAAGTCAGATTCAATATAGATGTTTTTTATTTTAAAGAAAATTCAGATTGAACATGGTAAAAAACTGTAAATTATAGTGTCCGTCCAAAAGATATTTTGTACTTATAGTGAAAACTAACCTTGGATGATGGGTTAGTAGACTAAAAGCTTTAGGAATCCAAAGTACAACATATAATAAGTACCCTGTATCAAGATTGATGCAAAACAAGTGATATTTGACCATTTTTAGACAGATTTAGCAAAAAAAAACCTCTTCTGGTGCCATTTGGGTGGATTTTTCATATCTCTGGCTCCCCCTGCTGGATTTTGACATGTGACATCTCTTTCTAACCGTCAGAGCCAATGGAATCGAGGGGAACTCCCACATAGTCCTTATTTGGTCATGTGTGTGTATTATACTGCCGCATAGCCAAGACCGGAAGCAGCAGCCACTCCGGTGGCTACCATTAGCAGCTAACTTTTGCTCTGCGATTTTTACATAAAAATGGAATTATGGATTATAAATAAGATAAATTATTGCCCAGAAACTTTATCAACCTATGGATTAACCGATTCAGCCGCGTTTTTTCTCGTTTTAATGCCATTGAACACGTCTTTTGATCAGATTAACAGCTACGGTGAGACGATCTCCCTAGAAGCTACGTAAAGGTACGTGTTGTGATGTCTGTCTTTGCTTCCCCTGTCGCAAGTTCGAATCACTCAGTGATAATACTTCTGTGCCAATGTCCGTTAGCATTTTTCGCTAAGGGGTCATTTAGATGCTTCTTATGAGACTTGTGTTTTGTTTTGGTAAAAATGGTTTATATCGTCAGTTAGCTGAGATTATTTCCGTTAATCTGGTATAACANTAGAGTATACAATGAGTTGTGGTCCAGAATGTATCTGGCTTTTCCCAATATTGCGATAGTTTTAGCCAGTTTTGCTTTTACATGAGTGATATGAGGTTTCCAGCTGATTTTGTGGTCTAAAACCACACCAAGGAACTTCATTTCATATACTCTTTCTATGTTTATGTTGTCTAGTATTAAAAGCAATGGTATGCTTAGTATTAAAGAAACGTATAATTAGTCATTATAAGTTAATGGAAACTCACGTGAGTGCATTTAAACTATTGTTAAGGCTATTGAATATATGACAATGTTATGAAACCCCCCCAAAAAGCTCTCTGCAGCTTAAATTAATTTTTAAAAGGAATAACTGACTCTCTCTTTCCTCTGATTTATAAGTGACTGTTTCTGTGTTAATAAGTGAGCCAGCTCTCCTCCACAGAGCAATGCTTCACCTCTACACATTTTCTCAGGAAGAATATACACTCTTTTGTACTTATTGGAAGGTTTATATCATAAAGAAGGAGTAATGGACTTTCTGAGCTTCCTGCATTTTAAATGAGCCTTAACACTTTATACACAAAGTCAGGTGGAAACAGAGAGCTCATTAGGAATATTGTCTGTAAACACAATGAGGTTAAAATGTTAAAATGATGAAGGCAGAGTCAGAAGATACTTTGTTTTCTGTCTGACCTGATGCATTGTTGCTGAATGTTTTGTGTGTTTAGGACTCAAATATTACAGTAAATACATATATATTTGTCTTTATATGAAATTTGGACCTGCTAACTTGTTGGTTTGTCTACTTGTCCACACATTCATATTATTAAAATGTGATCAAATAGATTTTAACAAAACAAAAACAAAAATTAAAATGTCATTTTTCAGGCATTATTATAAAATTGATTTGATTTCTTGCACATTTTTGTTGTTCTTGCACTATTTTATATATTTTTATGCCTTAAATATTCTGTATGTTCCTTTTTTAGAGGAACTACGATTTTAAGCTGTAGCTGTTGCATGTGACAATAAAGCTTTTGATAATGTAGAGTATTAAAACTTGTTGTCTTCGACGGTGATAGCGGAGGTTAAACTAAGCTTTTAGTTTCAACACTCCCAGACGCACAATGGCCGCCTCACATTCCTCTGAGTTTCCTCTTTCTATTGTTTGCATCAGAAGTGGACACAGAGGGAGGTCCAGGTTTGACTTGAGGAGACATCGTGGCTCGCTTTGTATTTAGATCAGAAACCAGTCGGTCTGCATAACAAACTGCATTCCTGCTGCAGAGCCCTGCCCACACACTCTGCCCACACGCTCTGCCCCACACACACACACACACACACACACACACACACACACACACACACACACACACACACACACACACACACACACACACACACACACACACACACACACACACCCTCGCTTACCTGCACATGTGAGCCCTTGCTGGAAGATGTAGCGGCAGCACACATCACACCAGGTGTCCTCTCCTTCGGACTCGAAGATGTGTCCCTCCCCGGACTCCTCTTCCACCCTGGGGTCCCTCTCTCCGGGGGAGAAGATGGTCCTCACATCCGGGGGTCTGAACCCCTTCTTCCTGACCCGGGGAGGACCTCCTCCACCTTCCATCCCGGCTGGCTCTCCGTTACTGACCTCGGGGCTCCTCTCCAGTGGCTTCACCTCCGGGGTCGCCCTCTCGCTCCAAGCCGCCTCCAGGCTCTCCAGGCTGGCCGGCTGCGGGGACGGGGGGTGCCGCCGGACGGCTCGCACCGCCGCGCCCTTATTGGCCTTGGAGATCCGTATTTTAGCGCCCGGGGGCGGCCAGGTAGCCTCCGGTGCCTCGCGCAGCGTCCCAAGGGATTTGTTCACCTGCACGGTCCGTACGGGGATGTCCTCCGTGACCGAGGAGCGCGTGGGGACGTACTTCCGAACCTGGTGCACGACGTTAAACATCACGCACACTCCTCCTGCTCTGCTGCCCGGTGGAGGTGTGAGGACTGAGGAGCTGCGAGACAGACCGACAGGTGAGACGTCACCGGTGACACAGACTGTGTCCTCCTGGCGCTCGTGCTTGTTGCGGGTGAGCAGGTTGAGGCGGTGAGCGCGAGCGGCGGAACGGGTTGGATCTCATTTCACAGCGCGAAGTGTCAAAACAGCTTGTTCTAGAAAGGACAGCACGCCAAGCTCAGTTCAAAGAAATGCTGATTTAAAGATAAACAATTTTTCAAGAGGCGTGTACTCTTTGCAATCTTGATAACAATTATCACTCTATTTATATGAGTATTATCTTTAATTCGGCAAACATTTGATCCATTACAAGCCCATGATTAACTTACAAATATTATTTTTGATGTGACCTGTTGCTCTTTATGCAATTATTTACCAAAAATAACTTCCCGGTGTACATGTCTTAAAGTTGGGATATAATTGGAGCAAGGTGCTTTAGAGTTCATTTAGATATTGATCAAAACTCAATACAAATAACGTCTCGTTGGGCAACGTATTGGAACAGTATGAAGACAAAAAATAAATGATTAAAAAAGTGGAGTGGAAGTGGAATTTGCCCTTTCTAGTTTGACCACAATGTGGCGCCATTTCCACTTTATTTAGCAAGAGCGTGTCTCTGCATAGGAATGTGTAATTATAATAAAGTAACAGCACGTCAAGTTATTACATACTGTACCCTGCACAGGAGGATGATTCTAACAATTCAGTAAATCATATGAGAGATCCTCAAAAAATATTTTGTTTATTGACCCTTGCAGTACTTATCTGTCATATTAATTGGTTTTGACATAAACTATATATTATTATGTTACATTACATTACATGTAATTACATTACATTCACTATGTTGTGATATTAATATTACTGTTCGTTATTAATTGATTAAAGTTCAATAGTTACAAAAACTAAAAACTTAATTTAAGGAGTTAAAAAAACAGGAAGAAAGGACACCTTGATATAAACTGAGATTGAATTACAATGAACAGTTTATTTCAAGTCATGTACATTAGCATTCATGCGTAATTCTGAAACAGAAGTTTCTTTGGCACCTTTTGACATAAGTAAAACAATTAAAACCAGGAACAATTACAGATAACCCACATTGTGCATCCCTCAGAAACTCTTAAAAACATTCATTTTTTATAAAAAAGTGCAAATGCTACAAAATGTCATTGTCTTACGTAAATTCAACAGCATAAATAGTTCTAATTTAAAATTGCTAGTTACCCTTTATCTCCCTGAATAACAATTTTTTTACAAAATAACAATTAAAATCGCAAACAACGGTAGCTATCAATGGCAGGATAATAGTTTTGTGTTTGGCTAAAGTTCATTGAAAAACCTGAACAATACAAATATGTGTGCTTTTAATCCCAGAATAACACAATTATATATTATTCTAATGCATGCAGCTGCGGATACGTTAATGCTCTGGGCTTTATTTGCATGTTAGTTGAAGTGGCAGAATAATACATTTGTTTCCCCGAGTCTGATTTTAGTCCTTTTGCATTTTTTTGAGAATGTTCTGTTCACTCGACGTCCTCCTCATCGTCACTGTGAAAGGCTTCCTCCTGTGAAAGAGAGGAAAATACAGATATTGAAAGAGTTGAAGGTCAGACTAATTGTTTTAAATGATATCAACAGGTGGTGTGTTGCTTACATATCCGCCCTGCTGCTGGGCCCAGGAGGAATAATACTGCTGCAGATATCTGGCTCCGTGGCCCAACAGTCGGTTCGTGGGCAGTGTGTGGAGCGCTGACAGACGGGTGGTGACCTGCGGGGAACACAAACAACTCCAACTGTTAGTCAATCAAAATGGAAGAAACCTTGGGGAGAGCAGCAGAGGAGGATCCCTCTCCCCTGACAGACAGGCGTGCAGTATACGTCATGTTTATAGATTAAAAAAGATAATACATTTACATGTTGGTCAGTTAGGCAAAGCTTTTCACTTAAAAAGGGATAGTTAGGTAGGTTTGTATGAGGTGATTTAAGTTCAGCGTGTCCCCAGTTTGGAGAAACAGACACGAGAACCAGCAGGAATAAAAGCAATGTACTAATGTGGACGCATCAGATCATGTTTTAGACGTCTAAAAACATCAATATAATTGTACGTTTTATGAAGAATATTTGTACAACTTCACCTCAAACTAAAGTCATTATTGATGCTCCCTTCAAAGTGTCCAATGCCCATTGAAAAAACACAGTAATTTAACCTCTCAGAACACGGAAACGGTTGATCTACTGGTTCCTTGTTTGTGTTTTTGTGTGATTTTAGTGTTTCAAATTGGTTATTTCAAATTCACCAAAGTCATACAATAACAAAAACTAAACGACTGAGACAAGCAGAGAGGGTAGACAAGCAGACCCCTATTCTGAGAGGTCAAATGACTGCTTTTCTCAAAAGAGTCTGGTGGCTTTACATCTGTTACATTCCTCCATCTGCATCTACTGTAGGCAATACACTGATGAAGCTAAATAACTCATACAACCCCACTTCAAAAGATTCAAACTATCCCTTTAAACCTTTTTGATAAAACATTAACGTTGTCCTCACCTCACAGGTGACAGCGATCTGAGTTTTGGGAGATGCTTTTGGACCCGGGGAGTCTGGGTCGGGGCTCCTGAGGCCCATCCTCATGAGAAGCGTCTGCATTAGCCTCCTAAAGAAGTTGTAGTCCGAAAAAAGTTCTAGGGATATACCAGAACCTTTCAGCTCCTGGTGGAGACAAGAAACAATTTATTTAGGTTAGGACTCAATGAACACTGAGGAGAAAACTGATCTGCATTTAACAAACTGAAATAGGTTTTTTTGTTTAAATAGGCTTAAAGTCACAACAATTTATTTTTTTTAAACACAAATTTGACCAAATTGGCTCAAGAAACAACATGAAAACATAAAAACGCATTACAAACATGAACGACTTCCACATTTTGCAGTGAAAAAGTTTCCTATAAGAACATTCAAAAGGTTAAAGGAAACTTTAGATATCTGTAAAAGTTGTTTCTTACTTTCTCGTCCAGTCGGTCTCCACACTCCCTGAGCAGCAGGCCGATTATCCTCTCCACGTTCTCATCTAGGAAACAAGACGCATGATTAACAATCACGTCCAAGAAGATAACAAATACCTCATTACTACAAAATCACCAAAAACTTTTTCAGCTTTGATCAAACCAAGCACATTGTAAACACTAAAAGGCCATGTAAAGCATAATTGCCTGTATTTAATTAAAACAATTGATTAAATCATATATGTCAGAGTATGTTTCTGATGTGTTGAGGGAGGCTGGTTATGGTGAACAGTCTCTTGAGTGTGTTTGAAACAGTGATTTCATTAAGGTGATCATCTTCGCTCCATTGTAGGCAGCGTTTCCGCCAGGGGGGCGTCTTGCCGCCATTCGACGCCCTTTTTCAGCTCGGGACGCCCTGAACGCGAGCAGAGGGCGTCCAAAAATATTAATAATTCGAGAGAAGATCGAGAGTTTTTATCACTTGAAATGACGAAAAGGAAAAAGGACAAGGACATCCCGCTGTTGGAGGGGGAAAGGAGTCTGGTGGGATTCTTTTCCGAGTATTGAAGATAGTTTACCCGACATCGGCGGTGCCTGCTACAGTACAACACCGAACGTGCGCGATTTGGACTCGGTGAGTGGGGGGCTTTTGGAAAAGTGGAGCAAGCGCGTGAGCTGCGAGCTCCAGAGCCTCGCAGCGGCGAAACTTAGGCTCCGTTGTAAACTGTGGTAACATGAAGAGCCGTTTAGGAGCCGAAATCAGCCGGCACTTTAAGAGATAGAGCCAAATGATCCGGCTCACTAACGTAAACAGTATCAATAAGGGACGGCTCAAGTCAAAATTCAAAACACCACCCCCAACCCCCAACCCCCCCCGCTCTCGGGATGGACGCCCTCTCAGCCCTGGTCAGGCGGAAACACCTATTGTAGGTTTATATCTGCAGGTGATTTAGAAGCATTCATCAGGTGGAAATAAGAGGTTTGGAGAAGAATGTGAAATTGCCGTAGGCCTGGTATTTCTCTGAAAGACTTTTATTCTGAAGGGCTGAATCCGAAACTCACCTTCTGCCGCGTCTGTCTCTATATCAGGAGGAAGGAACGGGATCTCATCAGCGATGTCTGTCAGTCTGCTCGCTACCTCTACATCTTTAAGATCATCCTCCTCTTCTTCTTCCACTAGGTACGTCACAACCTCACCTGTCCCTATAGCTGAAATAAATAATAAACAGACAAATAAGAAATTAGCACGAGAGAATAAGCACACGTGTTGACAGTCACAAGTCTGAGCCTGTTTCTTAGACGGGCTTTTCCAAAGAATAAAACAAATCATCCTGAAAAGCAATGACCAACTGTTACTTTAGGGAGAAGCCACGAGGTCTGACTCAGAGCTGCTGGGGGAATGATCAGGAAGAACATGTGGCTGCATGTTTACAACGTCATTTAAACGCCTTGACTTCATTTGAAAAAACTGATATTTTTAATTTGGCAAAAGAACAAAACAAGATGACTTGGCAAGAGTCAAAGAATAATTGGGATGGGAACAGTTTCATGCTCCTTTTAAATACAGTTTCGTCTTGACTTGCGTTTTGTCATTGTACTTTTTCATAATTGTATTTCCAGTGGCATCTTAAATTGTATGGACTGTCTTATCTGGTTTTGTCAAGAGTCTTTGGGTCTCTAGAAAGCTACTTATAATTACAATTTATTTGCATTATCGTTTTAAATATCCCAAGTATTATGTATTGAATGTATACCCCTGAAACCTCCAGCGCTTTAGACTTTCATAGTTATTTTTAAGACATTTCTGAACTTTCTTCTGTCAAGATTATTGTTCAAATTAATCATAAAACAACATCAACTGTTAGATTCAGCCCTTCTGATCATACAGGAGATGTAGTGGAGTAATCTGGGGCTGTAGCTTCATACTTACGGGGATCTAAAGAACGAACTTCCACGCCATCATCAGGCCTCGTATCGTATGGCTCTTCTCTTTCTTGTTTTCCAGGTCTGATACAGCTAAGAAGTTTGGGGAAAAGATGATTCTTCTTCTTCTTCTTCTTTTTCTTCTCCTGTATTTCAGTTTGAGGGGAGAGTTTGTTATCGTCTGTGCTCCCCGTTACTGGAGTCTGTCTGTGCTGTGCAGATGAAGGTTTTTTTGGCTGTCTCTTGTTGAAGTAGGCCTTGAGGATCCTGAGCTCCTCCGAGTCCTCCATGTCGTCCGAGCCTGAGGTAGCTTTAGCGTCACAGTTAATACTGCTGTTCAGGCCGGTTTGGTTGTTAAACACGTCATGGATCTTCACGTGCCCGTTCGCCATGTTGTTTCACTGTAGATGAATACAAATTAAATCATGAATATGCTTATAAAATTGAAAGAGATATAACTAAAAATGTCGAATTTGTAGCAAGAGGTGCTTTCACATCTCAGGACATTAGTAGTAATGAATATCATTCTATTTGTCTTGTGTTCTTATTATTCTTTAAATGTCTGTTTTTTTGCTATTTTAAGAGTAATTTGGTTATATTTACAACTGCAACTAGTGATCACATTAATTGGTTGATACAATGTGAGAAAAATGTGACAAATGCCTGATTGATAATGATCCATTAAATAACAATTGAACATCAAAAGCCCAGATGTTTTCATTTGTATATTAATACAAACCAGCAGAGCAGCACATTTAAGAAACATCTACACAACTGATACATTCACTTTTAATAGTAAACACAGTAGTAATAGTTTCTATTGATTAGGGAATGGATTCTTTTAAATCATTATTTTCCTGCTGCAGATTATTGTATGGTTTTTAGCTTCCTCCTTAGAAAGTGTGGAATTAACATTTTTCTAATACTGTAAATTGATCTCATCTATAGTATAATAATGTACAAATCCCTTTTATCTTTATTTTATAAACTGTTTTGCTTTATTCTGTTACTGTTTTACTGCAATGTGTCACCCTCTGTTGGGTGCACACATTACAGTAAAACTGGGTCATGTCGAAACAGGTTACCATAAACTGTTAACTTAAAAACAACCTGCCTTTTTCACAAAAACACCAAAAAAGGGACCAGGATTTAACAATAAGGTTATTTACTGCTACACGACATGTTTTACTCATAAGAGGCCCTTTGAAACGGTATTTGAAGCCACTTTAGATGCATTAGAGAGCTAGTGTCAGTTACGAATGTTGAAGTGTCACTGTACTGTGAAAGTACACTTTACAAACATTATTAGTTTGTCTAACTTCACTTAACTGGCTACCATGGTTAAGGGTGGCCATACAACATGCTAAGTATTATTAAAAATACTTTTTGGACAACTCTTTGGTTACAAAATCTACCAAACATTGAACCACTATTAATGAAGCAGTTTTAAATTGACGATATAAAAAAAGTTTAACTTTCGTCACTTGGACGAAAACCAACTTTTTCAGGTTAGTATTAACTTTAATAAACTGCCTGAAATTACAAATACACACTTAATAACACTACCTCCATTCAAATATAGCATTGTAAGACATAAAACACGAGTACTTACGGTCGAAATGATTTAAAAGGTAGCTAAATTATCCGGAAATGATTCTTCTTCCACTACCGCTCAGCAACTGATCCTCTGAAGTTTTAAAGAGTCGGGTCACATGTCGGCGCACGTCATCACGTATTTTTACGTCTTACGTGATGATGCAATATTAGTATTACCGGTACTTTTCAGAACGATCGTTCACACGATCAACAACACAAAAAATACACATACATTTTGATTTCTATGATAATGTTGCACTTATTTTTACAGTTTAACCAAAAGTAGATACAATTTTCCAAATGTGAGTACTCTGAAAAAAGCCTACAAAATTATGTTTTACTACATTGCTCCTTCTAGCCGAAACACAAAGGATTTCCTACTAAAAGACACAGTAAAAAATTATGAATTGCAACTTTATTAATTCTAAAATGATAAGATTACTCAAATGAAATTACTGTACAACGTTTATATATCTCTCAAATAAATATGTATGTATATATTTTTTCTTCCCATAACATTTTAAAAGTTCACCAAATGTATAACCGATCAGTAGTTGGAGTTTTTTGTTGTGAAGGAAACTTCTAGATCCTTTTTGTGTTCGTGATAAACAGAAAACCAAACATGCTTTTGTTTTGAGTATTCGTGTCAGTTATTAAATACTTATCAAAAGACTTCAATTGTTTTACGAGAGGAATTATTTTTTCCAAGAAGTGATCCTTTTCTTTTCCTTTACACATTGCTGCCATGCCTGAATCATGACCTCAAATAAGTGCAACTCAGCCTTTATCCAAACATGACTCAACCTGATGCTGACTCAGCGGTCATGTTACTCTTAATATAATAAAAGAAATTAAACTGATGATACATACTTTGACATTTTAAACTGTTGATAAGAATTAGATCGTGTGAAGGGGACACAAGTGAAGTAACAGAAAAGTTAAGTTGGGAATCAATGGTCTAGAAAAGTCTATGGAAGCCCATTTCCACTAGTGAAAAGGAAAACAGTGAAAAAAGGTTGAATAATAATAATGACAATAATAATAATAATCTGTTTTAGAGCTTTTGGTTGTAATATGAAATGTACAACCAAAAGCTCCTTAATTCTGGATTTTTTTGAAGACAATATGGGCAAGAACTCCTTCAACTAAAAATAGGAATATGGACGGTTCAGTCCACAGAGGGACGTTTTGATCTCACTTCTTTTTCCCAAAGGTATGTTAGTCTGTTACATGCTGGCAGTAAACACTGGAAACTCCCGCCCATGTGACTCAGCCGTCTCAAAAGCCTCACAGTCTTATGTCACATTCAGGGTGGAGTTCTCACGGCTGTATGGAGGAACGTTTATTTCCTCTTGGATTTTGGATTTCTGAAGCACAAGGAAGATTTAAAAGAGGTTAAAGCGTTTTAACTGGCAGCATGTGACCAATTAGAAATATTATATCAGCACTTTTTGACTTTTGAACACACCAATATAACTTTACACACCCTTTTAGACAACTGATAATGATTTACAGGAATGTTTTATACCATACTGAAGCTTATCAGATATTAACAACCCTAGTGTCTAGGTTAGTACTTCAAATGTTTTATATATATATATTCAATCTTTAAATATCCTTTTTATTTCCGATATTCACTCTTTCTACACAATACGGTTTTAATACACCTTACTGTTTTTCTATCTTTTTTAATGTTTTAGGTCTATTTTGCTGCTTTTGTGAAGCACTTTTTAAAGTGGATTTTGAAAGTGTATCTATATACAATGATAATAATGATTACTATTATTATTCGTAGTATATTAGATGCTGCTCTTTTAACCCAAAGATAAAAAAACACATTATAAAGCACACTCTGGAGCATTTTGCATTCGAAAATTAACTTCTTCATTACATCCTGTTGTTTCCAGAACAATGTTTTTGGCTTTAGAAAGAGGAAACAGTTAGAAATAGATTCAGACAGGAAATAACGTCAAAACTCACAGCATCACATCTTCTTTTAACAAATTAATAAAATAAAACAACAAACTTCAAGTAATCCCATCATCATCATCAGCAGAAAAATACAAAAGCAAAAGTCCAACATCAGAGGAAACTCAGGTGGAAACCATTTCAAACTATAATAATTAAAAACAACAGCAATGCCATCTTTTATGCCATTACCAGAACATAATCCCGAGGAAGGAGGTAAGGAAACGCCATGCATAAACTAACGCTGATGAGAGACGATTTAATACAACGTTTCTACTCCATGAGAAGCGTGTGTGCATGTCCTTCAGAGCTTTTGACTATTATATAGTCTCTTTGTAGGAAAGGTTAGAATTTCATTTACACACATGTTCTGTTTTATAATCTCCAGACACTCAGAGGAAGTCTCAGAGTTGGAGGGTGAAAGCGGTAGCCATCGTAGAAGTCCTTCGGCTTAAAACATTTGGGGATTCAACAAAGTTGGACAGGAAAACTCAAATTTATAATCTAAACATTTGGATTTGGTCAAGGAATGTGAAGCAGAATATCCCAAACATTTTTAAAAGGAAAAGCTGTAAGCCAGGAGTGCCATATGAGCTTTTTTATAAATACCCCAAAGCAAAACATTGTTTTTAATTTGAAAAGAAAACAATGTTTGACTTTGCCGGTTTATTAATATATTTGTTAGCAATTTTAGCTTTTTATTTGCTATAACAACGAGAAACAAATTAATGACTAGATTGAAATATGAAAATAAAATCTAATGTCTCGAAAAAAATACTGAGGTATATTTCTGGTTACATTGCTTTTTTTAATTTAGATTTTTTGTTTCCAAAATTTGAGAAGCATTATCATTTCATTAGGAGGACTAACTATGACAAGTAAATTGTCCTTTTATATTAAAAGCGAAGTAAAACCTGTGTTAATAAGTTAATGATGAATCATTTTGACTTCTATAAACCTAAAAATACAACCTGAAAGGTGAATTCTTCATCATGGAAATATTAAAAAGGTTTTTTGAACATTTGATGTCTTCTGGAGCTTTTAATCATAAGAAGGAAGTCTGGCAAATATATCTGAAAGCTCTGGAAGAAGTCTAATAAGTAATCAGAATAAAGCTTCCTCTCTGTGTGAAAGAAAACAGGAATAAATCAGTATAATAACATCAAACTTAAGCAATCACTCGTAAAAAAAGTCTTATTGAAAATGTGATTTCCCCATGTTGTTGTTCAATAATGTACATTAGGTTTAAAAGCCTTCAAACTTCTGTGACGGCTACACTTGATACACTGAATAGTTCCTCACATACTTTGAAGAAAACAGCTCCAACTTTATATCTCAATTTAGTTTACAACAGGTTATATGAAAAGAAACCTAACAGGGCTGTTTTAAATCCATGGACATACTGTACATGCACACAAAATTAAAATTAAATAACAAGACAATCATTTACCCAACCAGCACTGAAGTCAAATCAAACATTCAATCCTCCTCGGTGCTAAATGGTCAAAACATTAATGTAATGTAAACGATTAATATAGAAATGAAAAGAGACGTCATCTATTCATATTGCATTGAATATGGCTCAGATCTTTTCTTTTCTTCTTGGATAAATGCTGCTGCAGACACACACACACACACACACACACACACACAATGCAGTTATGCTGCAGAAAAGCAACAAGTTCTCCTTTAATGTTTGCTTCGATATGGAATGAGGAATATTGTGACTGACACACACACACACACACACACACACACACACACACACACACACACACACACACACACACACACACACACACACGCTGCGTATGAAAGCGTTGTTGGGTCAAGGGCACAGTAAGAAAAGTTTAAATATTTAACAGTGTCAGAGTCAGACGTCTTAAAGTATAAAAAAGAATTTTAAGACACCATTTAAAAAAAAAGGTTCCGTCCTCCATAATTAACAGCCTGCATTATGGGTAATTTAAACTTTTGTGTTTTTTCCCCCTACTGAGCCGATACAGGCTTAGTTTTATATTTCAGATTTCAATTTGTACCATCTGTGTCCAGACGTTCTGTAAACAAGGTTAACATGGGGCATGGGGGGAGTTGTGTTCTTCCGGATTTAACTTTGTAGAATAAACCAGTAATTCCAAAACGTATCTATTTTATGATACAGATCAATATAAACTTGAAGCAGCTGTATAAAAATGTTATTGTTATTATTATTTAGGGGCCTGGAAATGTAAAATGTTGGTTTCAAGCACTTTAAAAGGTTCCTAAACTCAAAAGCCTTTAACATCTTTTTATTATTTTACTCTAAAGTTAAAATGAAGCATTTCCCAACCTTGTACGAACCCTAAGAATAAAGTTAGTATGCAACCAACATATATATATTATTAAATGTGTGTATTTAACTAGTATTTTTATTTGTTTAATATCCCAAACATTGGACCACAGCCTGTACTTGTTTTGTTTCAGTATTTGTATGTGAACGTTGGATGCGATAAAAAATAAAGTTTCCTTCCTTCTGAACTCAGACTAATGTGAGACAGTTGAAATAAGATTATTCTTTAATAACCTCATCAAAGTGTGGACCCTGGTATGCTGATGGAAACATTAAGATTACATCATTTGGTATGAAAGCAGAGATTTATGTGAAAAACAAACCACTGTGATAGTTTCTAGGAACATTAAATAGATATGACACTACATTACTGTAATGTCTTTGGCACACATAGGGTAAACATATATAAAACTGTAGTATTTATGTCATAACAGAAATATTTTCTAAATGTTTCATCAACACATTGAACCCATTCTTAAAATATGAACTTTTTTTTCACGAGTTCAGCTCACGGCGGCCGCTCAAAGTGCACTTACATCCTGAAACCTTAACGAGCAAACACTCAGTCAATCAACCAATCAGCACAACCAATAAATAGAATATGAATAAATAAATACAAATAAATATTTGACCGTTAAAATGTCCACTGCGGTGCTGCTGGGAGCCGAGGCAGTTCACTGTTCGTCTGCAGAGTCTGTTTTTTTTTACACTTTCTCTCCCAGATTCGTCTCCACTACGAGTGTGTGCAGAGTCCAGAGAGTGTGTGTGAGTGTGTGTGCCTCAGACAGCCGTCTCTAGGTCCTCGTGGTTGGCAGAAGGTGTGT